TTCAGCTTAGAGCATGGGGTAACAACACCTAATTCTAGAGAACTTGTGAACCCTAATCATGAACCTTTGTCAGTGCAAAGCTTCCTCAATTATGGCATCAAAGTAAAAGGGAAAGTTGGAAAGTAGAGCAACTTTTGGTAGTTGAATACACTCCAGATCCATACTGATATGATCCACCAATCCCCCAGATCCCCAGTCAATAGAAAATTTTCAAAAGTAAGTCATTATCATTCCTAAAATTGTATTGCTCTTTTCAAATTTAGATCCATGGACACGATAGAGATTCTAGATTGTCAAAATAAAAAGTTCAATTTAAAACAAACAATTTTCATTTTCTGGAGATGGGAATGCATCCAATGTGTGCACATGCAAACACACAATTATGAGGACAGAGAACAAAAAAAAATATGAACGGCCTCATAATATATATACATGGTATAATGCCAAGTGTGCCCTTACGCCAACAAACATACAAATGCATCAATATTCCTCATGAAACTGACGTTGAGTGATTATCATGAGAAATTTACTTGGGATATCTGCCAACTTAAAATTGTGCCTTACTGAAGTCGTCTCTAAAGCATATCTGCCACCAGAGGCATGGACACAATGCTAGTTGTGAAGAGTTGTTGAATGAAATGAAGATGGATTAAAATAGAGAACATGAATCATTCTACAGTGAAACACCAAACTACTGAGAATGGGCTGGGGGCCTTGGCGGTAGTACCAACGAGCCCTATCATGAAGTCTTTGACTCCATTCTCACCAAAGGGTAGGGGCCCAAATCCCCACTGACTTTACCCCTTTTGAGAATGGCATGGGGCCTTGGCGGTAGTATTGCGGAGCCCTATGATGAGGTCTTTGACTCCATTTTCACCAAAAGGTAGGGGGCCAAATCCCCTTACCACTTTTTTTGAGAATGGGGTTGGGGTCATGGTGGCAGCATCACTTGTACCTTAGGTAAGGTCTAGGCTTCCATTCTCACCTAACGCATTCAAAAACCACTAAAGATTTCAAAAAACGGTAGGGGATCATCATCCCCACCGAATTACCTCAAAAACAAAAACACCAGACTACTTAGCCATACTAGCTCCATGCTCACTAAGCAATACAGCCATGAGATCTCATGGTCATGGCATAAAGATTTAGGATTTAAATACTCAAACATGTAGCCAACTCGGTCACCATCAAAACCAAGTCAATTTTTCAAGTCAAAAGAGTTATATGGAAAAACTCTGCAAGTTTTTTTCAAATTGTTTGTGAAAAACAAAAATGAACTGTTGATAGTGGGATCTTAACCCACCTCATAATTAAAGACATAATATATAAAGGAAAATTACGAGATTTTCGTTTATGAAACTCGCCCATTGCATGAGTCAAGTTGACAGGCAATTTTTTACCGACTCAGAACAAGTTTCTATTCACTGATCTAAATGACATGGCCAGATGCTCAGCTTTAGTAGATGATTTTATAAACGATCACTTGTCTGTTACTAAGGTTCTCCTCAACCACAAAGACTTCATTTAGACTTCTAAAAAAAGAGTATCCGTGTGGAAAGAGATGCAGCTCATGTGAAAAGATGAAAAGATTGGTAACCAGTACTTGGAGGACCTTTTAGTCTCAGAGACGAACCTGGAAACATTATACACTTTCTATATAATGCTTTGTTAAAGGGCAAGAAAACATGTTTTCCTACACCACCCGCCCTATTCCAAAGAAAATGTCGGAAAAATACTTCATCATGAGGTGAGTTTTCCCAATAAAAAGAGATACGAGTCAGTCACATCTTTAGTAAATAAAAAAATCATCACAGAAGTAAGACTCCTGTCAACACATTATTTCCTCTTATGAAAGAACATAAAAGAATCGAGCTCTACAGATTTAATGTATTTAATGTTGTTGTCATATAAAGTAAAAATTCTCTAAATATCAATAATAAGCACTTGCCACACATTCACACCACTAACATCACTTATGTTTAGCCCTAGAATCAATATTGTATGTGACTTCTTGCACTTTCAAAGCAGAAAATGATACACATGCAAAGAACGGCATGGATGGTGAATTGCAGACACCTATCGTAGCCTTAATATTGGTTTTTGATTTTTGAAAATGTATCTATTCATAGTCTGTTTTGGTTTTTATATTTCACTCCCAACTTCTACCCCCATCTTTCCCACCTTACACATATCGCAGCCTTAATATTTGGTTTTGATTTTTGAAAATGTCTCTACACAGTCTGTTTCTGTTTTTGTATTTCACTCCCCACTTCCACCCACATCTTTCCCAACTTCCTCACCCCCTCCTTCGCCCCGAGTCTTGTCATATTGCACTCATTCTCTCACACTCTCTCGGCCTTACTCTTTTTCTCTTTCTCTTTCCTTTACTATCATAGTAAGGTTCTAGGATACTTTTCGTACATTCTTGTATAGTATCCAACTTGTGGGCTGCCATACCCTACATCTTGTGTGCATTTGGTTTAGACATATTCTTAACATAGATCATAACCATCATCATCATCATCATCATCATCGTCATCATCATCATCATCTAAGCCTCATCCCAACTACTTGGGGTTAGTTACACAAATCCTGATCTATTATTCCGCTATATTAAGAGTCATAACCCAATCAGATCATAAGTCACCGCAGCTTTCCCTACTACTTCCCATGTCCTTTGGGAACATCCTGTTGCCCTTTCAGAACCTTCCACTTAAACCACATCACCCCTTGTTACTAGTGTTTTTCTAGGCCAATGCTGCTGGTATATACATTGTAACCAATATTAAAAAAAAACAAGTTTTAGAACTTTGTACTTGATAATGCCATTGCCATGGGTTTTCTCAAAAAAAAAAGAGGCCATTGGCATGGGTAGCCATTAACCCATAGCACGCATGATATCTATGTAGACAAGTGAGGGCATGCTTAATAAGAAATTTGCAATAAATACATGAACCAGCCATCTATAATGTCCTCAACTCATCATTTCAAGTGTGACACAAGCATAATCGAGAGAGAAAGAGAGAGAGAGAGAGAGAGAGAGAGATAGATAGATAGATAGATAGATAGATAGGTTTAATAATTGAGCAAGTTAATTGCTTGACCATTCACATCACAAACTGGTCTCCCTGTATTAATCATTTCTGGGTAGATGTTTTCTCATTATTGAAGTAAATATAAATTAAAAAGTCAGGAAAAAGGTTTGCCATGTTCAAACATCATCATCATCATCTAAGACTTATCCATATTATTTGAAGTTGGCTACATGAATCTTGTCCCTCCATTCTTTTCTATCAAGGGTCATACCCTCAATAATGTTTTGACATGCATAGAAAATATTTATATGACTAAATGCTAGACCTTTATAGTCTAAAATTCAACCTTCAAAAGAGCAGCCATTTTTTACATGCATGGCATATATTTATATGAACGAATGTCAGAACTTTATAGGGTACATATAGAGTCTCTCTAATTTGCACCTTCTAATGGTGAACTCATAATAGTGTGTTCAATATTTTTTTTATAGATTGCACTTGCCAAAGTTTTGTAAAATATATTTGAGTGTCAAGGGCAATGACGAAATGATTTGGCATTAGCATCTAACTATTCCCATTCATATAAAGGCATACCAAGACCATCCGAGCTAAATGTCAACCAATGCTTTTTCGATGGTTATTTCATCACTATTCCGGGCAAGTGATAAGCACAAAGGTGCTGACCAAAATCTTTCGAAGAAAGTATTTCGTTATAATATACGAAGCAAACCAATATGCGTGTCTATACTTAGGACTTTCTATCTTGCCCCACCTATGGTGAACTAAGAAAGTGTGCATCTCTGACAGTGAACTCAGAAAGTGTGCTCCACATTTTTTTGACATGTATTGCTCCTACAATTGCATTGCATGAGAAGGGGCATGTTAGATCACTTGCCGAGGGCAACCACATCATCATACTTTTTTGGTAATTACCACATCATCATACTTGACCTTATCAAGTAAGAATTTTATCAGTTTGGCATTGAACATTTTGTGAAAGGAACAAGTTTTCTTAAACCTCCTGTAAATTTCTTCCTTGTTCAACACCTCTTAAAAATTAGTCTTAAAAAGACTTCTTGATCTAGTTTTTCTTATGTCCACCTCCCTATTAATTTCCCTGGCAAGAAGTTCATAGTCCAAGATTTAGAATAGTTCAAGACCACTCTATTCGAAGATATTCAGAGCTTTGTTGACAAGCTGGAGCATCTTTTTCAACCTGAAAATAAATTCATGAGAGTAACCAATCTCCAACCACATTTTCAATCAACCTGCAAATATTGCAACCAAATGAGCTAGAATCTAAAAGAGAAAGGACTTTTAATCCAAGAAAGCTGTGGTAATGGATTTTTATAGATAACAAGGGAGAATTTCATCCTACTCCAAACTAATAGAAACCAGTCATGCCTGATCATGACAGGATCCAAGAAAAGGGAACCCCACAAGCACAAGTTCCACCAATTGTGAATGTTGATAAACCCTTAACCAATTCTGTACTGATCAAAGATACATAAATATGCACCCCAACAAAACAACAAAGACACAAAAGCCACATCTTTCCTATAACATACCATTACAAATACAAGGTCATATCGTTGTGTCGCATTTTAGGACTTAAATCTCAGTCCTCATCTTTGCAAGACTAAAAAGGCCCCTTCAGAGATGTCACCCAAGATATATATATATAACGAGTGTTTCTTCTCAGGATCTCTATCATATGGATACAACTAAATGAAAGGTCATCTTGAAAACCAAAATAACATAGCCACTCACTAATCCAATCAAACAGTGAGAAAATGTGGCTTTCTATGGTAGGAGCTCCTTGATATTACATTAAGGGTCCTTTGACCATGTTAGCTCTATCTCAAAGAAGCCGATGATATTTAAAATTTCTCCCACAATACATCTATCTCGCCCAACACATGTACCAATGATAGGGGATACTTTCCCATGCCTATCCCACTTTTATTTGATACCAAACTCTCAAGAGATTGCATAAGGATCCTGCAAAAGCTCTCCTGTAAAAATACTGATGGGTACATTTTCTCCATTGTAGAGTTTCTTGAGCATTGGACCTTCTTCCTCTCGCTCTGCACACAGAGTTATGATCGTTGCCAATCAGTTATGAGAGAAAGGGTTATCCCTTATGTCATCAATATTTCTGTTAATGGGAACTCAAGGGGAAGAGAGAAAGCTAGGAAACTATTAAATCATTTGAGGGATCTTGGAGAGAGGACCTATCAAGGGGTTCAACCCCTCGTATTCAGTTTTATGTGGGTGTGACTTTAAACCCATAAAATTGCCATAACGAAAAGAAGCGGGCTTCGGAAAGGTCAGGAAAAAATTTTGGAAGGAAAATGAATCTATTTAGCAAGCCCAAAAATTTAGCCCTGTTTTGAGGGAATAATTAAAAGTGTTGGTACCAATCTTTGTGCATAATTTGTGCAGGCTTATTGCATTTTGAGTTACGGAGAGTATTGGTGAGCATTTTGTTGTAGCAAGAGTCATTGTAAATTTGATGCATTATTTTGTGATGCACACCTGCGTATATATAGTTATTTGTATTTGTGAGCGCCATCTCGCTATTCTCAAGTTGCTTATATGACAGGTGTTTGAAGATTTTCAGTCTCTCTTTTGTCATTTGAGTGAACGTGATATAAGTTTTAGGGTCTGGCCTCATGGTTCAGACACCAGATATATAGGAAGTGGATCTCTTATTTAATAATTTTGTGTTATGAAACAGCTTAAACACTATGGTACTCTTGAATAAAAAATTGAAAAAATGGAAATGACATCATTAGTTTCCAAATATTCAAAATAACAGTTTATTAGTTTTAAAAACATCCTTTTAAAATATTCGAGTGTATACAACATGCTCCGAAAAAGGCACATTGTACACTGAATCAAGCAAAAGAGTTATGTAAGAGTACTTTACAACTGTAAGAGTACTTTACAACATGAAATTTGGGATCCACTTTAGAATCAGCGGATGAGTATTTACCCAAAAAAGAAAAAGTATTCAAGTTCTTGAAAACTTTAATCTGACGATCAAAAATTTGTTAAAGATGTTATTTTTTCAAGCACATACAAAATGTCTTCTTTTTTCTCCAGGTTGGTTGCTAGATTGAGGTTACATCCCAAAATTTGAGATCCTAAAAACACTCCTAGATGTAGGAATGAATATTGGAGTCGCTTCTTGGGGCCATATAATCCTAGTTTCTCCATTTACATGATATTTTCCATTTTTCCAATTTTACTCCTTGATTTCCATCCTATCGTGACATTTGTCTTTCCATACAAGCGTAACGGTTATACGCTTCCCAAGGGAGAATATAGTCGATGTCATTGTTCAAAAACCGTATGGCCCAGTTCAGATATTGAAGAATAAATGGTTCCTTGAACTGGTAGAAGTGACATTATGATAGTAGTGGTTCTCCGCCCTGACAAACCCCTATACCAACCAAAATTAAACATTAGAGAAAAAAAAGCAAAACAACAATGCACACTTGGACTGGCTGCTATAGCAGTGAAAAAGCATATGGTTTATCAAGGATGCAGGGAAGAGGTCCTAAGTTTTTTTTCTGTGTTTCATTGTGACAATATACTTCTACTTTCAGTAAGTCCACTGGCAAAGTTAAATAATAAAAGGGAAAAAGCAAATTATAAAACCAAGGATTAAAAAAGACTAAATTTCAAGCAAGAATAAACCAAACTCACAATGTTTTACGCCTCGAGTAAAATAGCAGCATTCACAGCATCAATAAAATGTACAAACACAGACTCCCCCTTTTCGTGCAAATATCTGCTCATCCGATTGCACAAACACATCATCCATGCTCACATGCACAGTCCTACATCCAAATAATAATTTTTCCTTTTTTTTAACATTAATAATAATCTTGCTTTTTCGGACTAATTGTACATGACCTGAGGGCTAGTAGGCATGCACATCGTTCTCTCCATCTGCAGCTCCCTCTCTCTCTCTCTCTC